GCCTGTTTCTCACCACAGGGATTGTCCATGGGCTGTTAGAATATCCTCAATGACGTGACAGCTAGCTTTCCACAGTGCGAGTAATCCCAGAGAAAGCAAGGCAGAAATCACAATGTCTTTTATGTTCAAGACTCAGAAGTCACAGACTATCATTTCTGCAGTGTCCTACTGGTGTCACAGGTCGGCCCTAGTCATTGTGGGAGGGGACAGTATAAGAGTGTCAATACGAAGGAGCAAGGATCATTGGGGGCCACCTTAGAGGCTATCTGCCACAACCAGGGAAAATGTTTTGTTTAGTTTTCAGCCTTCCCTATCACATATATTCCTAGAGATTAAAAATAGGAAAGCCCTAGCTGGTTTGGTTCAGTGGATAGAGTGCCAGCCTGGACTGAGGGGTCCCGGGTTCAATTCTGGTCAAGGGCACATGCCCGGGTTGTGGGCTCGATCCCCAGTGTGTGGTGTGTGAAGGCAGCCGATCAGTGATTCTCTCTCATCACTGATATTTCTATCTCTCTCTCCCTCTTCCTTCCTCTCTGAAATCAATAAAAATATATTTTTTAAAAAATGGGAAAGACAACAAGGTTACTTTGTCTAAATATTCAGCTCATTTAATCACTTTTTAATAAAGCACTTAAAAGCCTTGTCTCATTTTTATACATATATATATATATACATACATATATATATTTTATTATTGATTTTTTACAGAGAGGAAGGGAGAGGGATAGAGAGTTAGAAACGTCGATGAGAGAGAAATATTGAACAGCCGCCTCCTGCACACCCCCTACTGGGGATGTGCCTGCAACCAAGGTACATGCCCTTGACTGGAATCGAACCTGGGACCCTTCAGTCCGCAGGCCGATGCTCTATCCACTGAGCCAAACTGGTCAGGGCAAGCCTTGTCTCATTTACATTAGAGTCTCAATATCTGAAAAAGATAAACTTTTTGAGAGTAAGAACCCTGCCTTATACTTGATCAATTTTTATAAACTTGACAAAATCCAATTTGCCATAGGTATTTGAAAATAAACTCATTGGGAAATATATAGCCCCTTTTGTTTGATATTCCTGTGCTTTGAAAGCTCCAGCTTATAAGATTGGCTGACTTTAGATTCTAGAAGTCAGTTGCATGGTTAATATTTCCCTTCAGGCTTAGGTCGAATTTAGAATCCTAGTAGGAACCAGATGGGATACACAAAACAGGAAATATTGCCAGTGCCCTAGTTTAATGATGTTAGCAAATGGGGGCACATTTGGCATAAGTAATACTTGTAAGCAGAGAGGCAAAGTGTTAAAGAAGGTGGAGATCACAGTCCTTGGCGTTCCATTCCAAGCAGCACCACTGTATCTTTTTTCATTCTGTGGGTTGTGTTTTCACTTTCTTGATGATATTCCTGGAAGCACAAACGTTTTTAATTTTAATCAAGTCCCCATTTATCTATTCTATGATTGCTTGTGCTTTATTTAGATGTTCTATTTCTTTGCCAGTGAGTTTTGGTAGTTTGTATCATTCTTTTGTTCTAGGATTTGTCCATTCCATCTAGGTAATCTAATTTGTTGGTATACAATTGATCTTAAAATCTTTCTGTCTGTAAGATCTGTAGTACTCCTTTGGTTTTTTTAAGGCTAGTAACAGACTATTTGTAATTCTCTGAATAGTTTGCATTTTCACATAGTATTCCCTCTGCCTGAAATACCATTTTCTATCAGGACTGTCAGCTTGAACATACCTCTTCATGAAGCCTTCCATGCTTGCTTCAGACAGATTGGTGCTCCAACCTCTGTGTTCCCATTAATTACACTGTATACATTCCTCCATTTAAGAACTTACCTCCATGATTATAATTATACTCACTAAACTGAATTCTTAAAATAATTCAACCCATATTTATTGCATGTTTATTTTGTTTCTAGTACTTTGTTCAGCTCTAGGGATAGAATGGTGAGACAGACAGGCATGGTCTCCACTGATTTCTGATCTCATGGACCTTACAATCTCGTGGGATGACAGAAAAAATAAAGTAATTATGATTATGAAAGGTCATATGAATGAAACAAAGGGCTCATACAGAGAACTACATGAGAACCTCTTTAAAAAGGTGGTCAGGGAAGGCCTCTATGACTAGGTGATATTTGAACTGAGTCCAAAAAAGATGAGAATGGCACAGCTGTGGCACAGTAGTAAGAAGAGCATTCCAGGCAGAGAGAAGAGTATGTGTGAAAGGTCAGGTGGGAAAACACTTGTTGGTTCAAAGAACAGAAGGAAGACTGGCATGGCCGGTGCATAGTGAGAGAGGGAGGGAATGTGTGAGGATGAGGCAGGGGCCCGATTGTGGGCCCAGTTGCTGCCTAGTAGGTCATGGTAAGGAGTTTAGATTTTATTCTAGGTGTCTTGGGAAGCCACTCTTGACTACTTAGAGAATGATTTGGGGTGAGACAGTAGTAGAAGCAGATTCTAGAATAAGCATTCAGAATTATTTTACATATGAATTTGGAATGGGAAAGGCCTCTCTCTCTCTTTATTTGGTCACACAAACATCTAAAATTTCTATTTGGGGGGAAAAGTCAGAGAGAAATGTAAAACTGGGTAAGAAATATTTGCAAGGGCCCTTAACATTTGCAAGTCTCCTTAGTATATAATAAAAAGATGACTCAATAGACAAAGGGTAGAGACTGACAGTTCACCCCCCCCCATACAAATGCCTATTAAATATATGAAAAGATGCCTAGCTTCACTCTTTAAAAAAAAGAACTACAATTTATGAGATCACATTTTTCACATGCCAGATTGGCAGTGTACTTTAATAGCATACTGTGTTGGTGAGACTGTAGGGAAATAGGAACTCTCACATGGGTGGTGGGAGTGTAAATTGGTTCAACTTCTCTAGAGAGTAATTTGGCAGCGTCTATCAGAATTTTAAGTGGATACACTTCTAGGAATTTATCCAACAAGTAAAAGACATTTTGGTTCATCCATACAAAGGCATACAGTACAGACCTTGTAAAGAATGAAGCATCTCTTTATCAATGATGGGGAAGGATCAATATATACTTTTTTATATGCTTTTATTGATGAGAGAGAGAGAGAGAGAGAGAGAGAGAGAGAGAGAGAGAAAGAGAGAGAAACATTGATGAGAGACATCATCTATTGGCTGCTTCCTGCATGCCCCTAACTAGAGATCAAGCCCACAACCCGGGCATGTGCCCTGATGGGGAATCAAACTGGTGACTTCTACGTTCATGGGTCAACACTCAACCACTGAGCCATGCCAGCCAGGCTAGGCAACATTTTTAAGTCAATAAAGTGGTAGAGAACAATTTAAAATATTCTACACTTGTTTAAAAAGGCATAGAAAAAATGTATTTTCTCTATGTCCAAATAAGGATTCCTTGCTTGTATCATCTACTATCTCTGGGAGGAACAGAAAAAAACCAGAAACAGTATTTGCCTCTGGGAAAGAAAACTGTTGAGTGGAGGATGGGTAGGGAGGATATTTACTTCTCATTTTATTCTCGGTATATACCATGTGTACATGTTGCCTATTAAAAATTTGAAACAGCCAAAACCGGTTTGGCTCAGTGGATAGAGCGTCGGCCTGCCGACTGAGAGGTCCCAGGTTCGATTCCGGTCAAGGGCATGTACCAGGGTTGCGGGCACATCCCCAGTAGGGGGTGTGCAGGAGGCGGCTGATCGATGTTTCTCTACCATCAATGTTTCTAACTATCTCTCTCCCTTCCTCTCTGTAAAAAAAATCAATAAAATATATTTTAAAAAATAAAATAAAATAAAATAAAAATTTGAAACAAAGGGAGGGGGAGTGAGGAGACCAGTCAGGAAGCTGTGACTGTAGTCCAGGCAAGAGATACCAGTGGTCTGGGCTAAGATGGTGGTAGGAAGGTGGAGAAGAGCAGACAGGTTTAAGTTTTTTTATTTTTATTTTATTATTTTTAATATATTTTTATTGATTTCAGAGAGGAAGGGAGAGGGAGAGAGGTAGAAACATCAATGATGAGAGAGAATCATTAATCAGCTGCCTCCTGCATGCCCCACGCTGGGGATAGAGCCTGCAACCTGGACATGCGCCCTGACCAGGAATTGAACTGTGACCTCCTGGCTCCTAGGTCAATGCTCAACCACTGAGCTGTGCCGTCTGGGGTAAGATTTTTTTTAGATAAAATGCACAGGATTTGCTGATGCAGAGGTGTGGGAGATGAGGGGAAGCAAAGAATCAAGGATGATGAGTCCCAGGTTTCTGTTAAGTAACGGTGGGTGGAAGAATTGGTTATCTAGGGCTCTTGAGCCTGATGGCCTGGGCTTGAATTCAACCTATTCTGCTTTCTAACTCTATGACCTTGGGCAAATTATGTAATTACTTTGAATTTAGGAGCCCTCATGTGTAAAATGGGAATGGTAATGTGACCTACCTCACAGGTTTGTTGTAAGGATTAAATGAGTTAACACATGTACACTTTAGAGCAGCTGCTTGGCACATAGTAAAAGCTATACAAGTAGTTACCTCTATTGTTGTTCTTATTACTGCCACTGAGTTGCTGCTATGACTACAACTGCTTCTCCTCTTCTTCTGTCAGAGAAATGCCTGGCTCCTATCAGTAAATATTTGTGGAAGGAAGGAATGCTTTAAAATCAACACTTGTTTCATAACCAGTTGATCTATGAAATGAAAAAAATTTAAAGATAGTTTATCGATTTTTAAATAGAGGAAAGGAATGGAGAGAGAGAAACACTGATGTGAGAGCACAACATCGGCCACCACTGGGGACCAAGTCCACAACCCCGGGCATTTGCCCTTTACTGGGAATTGAACAAGCAACCTCCCGGTACACAGAATGACGTCCAACCAACTGAACCATACTGGTCAGTGCGAAATGGAAAAATTTGAAAGGCCCTTTTAGCATTTGAAGAAATGAGATAGTGGTGATGTTGGTAGGTTATGAAATTTGTTCATATCTTTCCTCTTTGACTTGCGTTTTTTGTGCAGGCCTGAAGGCATTGAACGGCAGTACAGGAAGAAGTGTGCAAAGTAAGTATTAACAGTGTGGATTTCTCTGAGCATAAGCAAGTAGTGACAACTATGTGTTAGGACCAGAATTGTTTGGATCCAATTCTCTATTGTATCTTTATCCTTATAATCTCTACACAAATAACAATATGTTTCTCAAAGAGACCAGTCAGAGTTACATCTTTGACCAGCAGGCCACAAAAATAAGTTTTTTGCTTTTTAAAAAAATATATTTTATTGATTTTTTACAGAGAGGAAGGGAGAGGGATAGACAGTTAGAAACATCGATGAGAGAGAAACATCGATCAACTGCCTCCTGCATACCCTGTACTGGGGATGTGCCCACAACCAAGGTACATGCCCTTGACCAGAATCGAACCTGGGACCTTTCCGTCCACAGGCCGACGCTCTAGCCACTGAGCCAAATGGTTAGGGCAAAAATAAGTTTTTTCACGTGATATAATTTTTTTAAGTTGAGGTGTAATTTATATATAATAAAATTTGCCCTTTCAAGTGTACCATTTGACAGAAGCATGCAATCATGTAGTGCCACCACTATCATGATACAGAACAGTCCCAGGACCCCATGTTCCCTTTGCAGTTAGTCCCTTTCCTCACCCCTCTCCCTGGGCAGTCACCAATCTGCCTTCTATTACTGTGGTTTTCGCCTTTTCTAAAAGTTTATGTAAGTTCTACAATATATGTTTTACTGTATACAATCTGTATCTTTTATATCTGGTTTCTTTCATGAAGCATAATGCTTTTGGGATTCATCCAAGTTGTTACGTATACCAGCAATCTGTTCTTCTTTATTGCTGAGTAGTAGTCCTTTGCACCAGCTTGTTTCACCACCCCTTTGTTGAAGGGCATTTGGGTGGTTAATGGTTTTGACTATTCCAAATAGAGCTGCTATGAACATTCTAGTATAAATCTTAGTGGGAATATGTGTTTTTCTCTTGAAGTGGTTTTGCTGGGTCATATAGTAAATGTTACAGAGTAATTTAATCCAGGCCCATTTATAAAGCATGCTATAGGACCCCAGACCTCAGAAGTTTATTTAATACAATATAAATATATATATTTCCAGCTTTAGATTAATAGAACATTAAACAATAGTAAGTTTAATCTTGTTTCAGTAATCACAGGCATTTGTGAGCCGACCACTGCAGTGGAGCCTTTACACACTCTCTTGACACTGCAAAAACATAACAAAACAAAACTAGACAAACCCCCAAACTAGTTACCCAGACACCAGGGAAGAATAGCAGCAGTTTTGGCTGGAAAGTAATCAGTAGCAGGAGCCAGGGTTCACCAGACTTGCCTGATGATAAGAATCGCTTGGGATGCTGAGAAAAATGACAGATTACAAGGCCACAACCCCCAGATTTGCTGAATCAGGGTCTTCTGGGGATGTGGGGGTAGGCATCTGATCAGCAATTTTATTTTATTTATTTATTTTTTTAATTTTAGAGAAATTTATTTATCAACCATCATGAAAGAAAAAAATATATTTCAAGTAAATTCTTCTAGAACGGTTTATATTGTGGAGGGAGCAGAGGTAATAAAGACAAGAGTGAAATAAGGAGAGCATCTCTCCCATCCTCCAGGTTGTCAATGTAATCAAACTAATAGGCCCAGTGCCTGAGGTGCTTACTGACAGGCTTAATTAGTCAGAACCTCAAATAACTTGTTACTTCTTCTTGCTCATGTTATTAACAGTAGATCGAAGAGTAGAAATTCTAGTCCAGGCAAACTCATAACATTTATATAGTTAAGACCTTTTCACAGGCTCCTGTCACATTTTTGACAAAGATTGTCTTAGTGACCATCTGCTTTTGCTCTCAGTGATGACCTGTGATTGCATCAGATCAATTGCCACCTACTAGATCAATTTATATAAGACCTGTCCTGCATATTCATAAAGCAAGATAATATTTGTCACATATATGTGAAAGACTGCACCAGAAAATTAATCAGTGTAATGTCAATGGAAGACCCAATATCTACTCTTTTTAAAAAAATCTTCAACAAGTTCTAAGTCCCATGAATTTTAAAATATGTACTTCATTTATTAATTTTTGGTTGTTAAATGGAGGATCTCAAAATTTCTTGAAAACCTGAAGTTTTCAGTTGCTAGAAAATAAATGTTTTTCTGTTACAGGAAACTCTTTTTGCTACAATAAAGGAGTTAGACTGGATGGATGAGAATAAAATCTGATTGAATCAGATAAAGTCGAACAGAAAAATAGATCCTGGGCGCTATAAGAAACAAAGGTAGTTCAGATGTCTTAACTGTGCAGATCTGCTGGGGTCCAACCCCAGCAGGTCCAGGGGTCCCCAAAGATGTGGATGGAGTCGGCGAAGAAGGAATGACACAGAGACAGCATTCAGTTGATCAGCAGCCTAGCCAGGATCTCTAGCCAGGATCTCCAGCCAAGTTCTGTTCAGGATCTCCAGCGAAGTTCTGTTCAGGATCTCCAGCGAATCCTGGTTAGGATCTTCTCCAGCGAAGTTCTGTTCAGGATCTCCAGCGAATCCTGGTTAGGATCTCCAGCCAGGTTCTGTGTCCATGTTCTCTTGCTAGGTTCTGTCTCCAGTTTCTGTCCAGGATCTTTTGCCATGTTCTCTCCAGCGAAGTTCTTCTGTCTCTAGGTTCTGTGTAGGTTCTGTGTCTAGGTTCTGATCAGCAATTTTAACAAGCACCCTCAGTGATGCTTAGTGAGTAGTTTTGGGAAACACTGGAAAGAGCGCACCATTAGTTTATGCCACAAACAAAAATATTCCTGAAATCTCAGTACACTTTGCAAATCTGGATTCTGAGGTCTCCCAAAGACTCACTCTCCTGTTCCCAGGTGTGGACTGCCACTCTTCTACCAGTCCCAGCCAAAGAATGCTCCCGTGACCTTCATTGTGGATGGAGCAGTAGTCAAGTTTGGCCAGGGTTTTGGCAAAACGAATATATATACTCAGAAGCAAGAGCCTCCTAAGAAGGTAATTGTCATTGAAAGAGACAGAGTGGTTAATATAGCTATGGATTTTGCCCTGGCTGGGTGGCTCAGTTGGTTGGAGTGTCATCTCGTACACCAAAGGGTGGCGGGCTGGATTCCTGGTCAGGGTACTCTCCTGGCATGTGGGTTCGGTCCCTGTTTGGGCCTGTATGGGAAGCAACCAATCAATGTTTCTCTTTCACATCAATATTTCTCTCTCTCTCACCCTTCCTCTCTAAAACAAAAACACAAACAAATCCTTGGGTGAGGGTTAGAAAAATTATATATATATATTATATATGGCAATGGATTTAGCCCTAAATTTTAAATTAAGATTATATTGTGCAAGAAATTATCCTTTATGAAAGCATTCTTTATTAAGAGAACACCATTTTTGTGCATAATATTGTGTTCTTTTTTCTTTCCTACAGCTGCCCTATGAGTAAAATTAGAAATTGTATTGTTTTTATTCACATTTATTTCCTTCCACATTTCTTTTTCCAGTGAAAAAAATTACAAATGGACTGAATCAGGCTAATTTTTAAATATACTTTAAAAACCCTTGATGGAAAATGTTAGAAAAATGTAATGCAAATAAACACATTGGCACTTTTAGATAGGCCACCTTGTTTCAAAGAGGTGGGTGTCCACTCCCCAAAACTACATTCCCCAGCACCCAGATACATGTGCACCTGCATGTGCGCGCACACACACACATGCACACACACACACACACGCACACACACACACACACACGGCTCACAGAGCCTCTTGCTGTATCTACACTGATTTCTCTTCTGCTACTCCAGGTGATGATGACCAAACGGACTAAAGACATGGGCAAGTTCAGCTCTGTCACTGTGTCTACTATTGATGAAGAGGAAGAGGAGATTGAAGCTGTAAGTGCTTCTGCTCTCAAGGGAATTGGATGGGGGTGTGGAAGGAAAGGGGCTCTAGAACTACAGCATCCCAGTAGCAGAATAATCAGAGTCTGCTCATAGACCCTGCTCTGCCAGTAAGCAACTGTGATGCCGGCTAGTTCCTGTGTCCCTGGATCCCCAGCACCATCTGTAAAATGAGAGCCAGGGAGTTGGACTAAATCAGTGATTTTTAAAAAAAATATTGTGTTTTTGAGATGCCCTAGGGGGCAAATCCCTCATCCCTCTTCAGTTTAAATATTACAAGGATTTCGGGTCCCTTCTAGTCCAGCTCTGACGGCTTCTGAGTCTGCCCTTAGCAGTAGCAGCAATTACCTTTATGGTACTTCAGTATAATGATGTTTACAGAGGGAGAGATGCTATCTATTATTTTTTAATCGTTTCAGTTGAAACCTGAACTCTTCTGGATTACTGAAGAGTTGAAATGGAACAGCCATACCATTTCAGTGATAATTTCATAATTTGAATGGTATAAATTGCTACTTAAGGTCTCTGTTGTTCCTCATTGGTGTGACTGCTGCTTTAAGGATGCTTCTTTTTTCCCCTCAGCGGGAAGTTGCTGACTCGTATGCACAGAATGCCAAAGTGATTGAAAAACAGTTGGAGCGCAAAGGCATGAGCAAAAGGCGGCTGCAAGAGCTGGTGAGTGGCATGTAGCAGCAAGGTGCTAGGCTGGACTATTTGGATCTCTTGGTTGGGAAGATCCTCTGGCAGTCAGGGAAATCTTTCAGGAAGTCTGTCAGGGGTTACTAGTGTAGCCGGCTGCCAGGTGTTAACTCTGTTTGGGCTATGACTGTCGGTATGCCCTGCTCTGAGGTAGTGACCACAGGATCCAGGCTCTAAATGATAGTACCTGTTAGCTAGCCCTAAGTAGAATGATATTTTATTCTGCTACTTGTGGTCCAAGGTCAGGAGTTAGATCAGGGTTTATGGATGCTTTCCCAGGATGTAATGGCACACGGTAGTGTGCCATTGGTAGGACTGGGGTTGGGACTGATCATTGCTGCTTTAGTTTTTTAGGTTTTTACTAGAGGCCCGATGCACAAAATTCATGCAAGGGGCTCATTCCTCGCAGCCGCAGCGGCTTGCCTTAGCCCTCACAGCCGCGCTTGCCTCGGCCCTTGTAGCCCCGGCTTCGTCCGGAAGGTTGTCCGGCTGTACATTCTAATTAGCATATTATGCTTTTATTATTATAGATTGATTTTTAGAGAGAGAATAAGGGAAAGAGAGATAGAAACATAGATGAGAGAAACATCGATCGGCTGCCTCCTGCACAACCCCTGCTGGGGATCGAGCCTGCAACCTGGGCATGTGCGCTGACTGGGAATCGAACCAGCCACCTCTTGGTGCATGGGTTGAAGCTCAACCACTGAGCCATATTGGCCAGGCTGGTCGTTGCTTCTTAAAGCCTTGGTACCACCACCAGTTTCTGTATTATTCATGGGCTCATCATAGAGCATGCACACCTATATATGATGGTGTCTCCATTTTTTTTCTTTTTGATAATAATTTACTTATATTTCTTTAAAATCAGATAGCACTTCATTGGTGCCTCATTAAAAGTTATACCAGTCTATCCTAATGACTGTAGAGGATTTTTTGGTGACAGAGGTGGGTAGGTCTTGGTAGCTGCTTTACCTTGCCATGTGGTTTAAAGCAGTACTTATCAAATTTTCTGAGGTGAAGGCCAGTGCTTTATCTTTTTTAAATTTCCAATTTGCAAGAACAGATTTATAATTGATAAAATGCAATAAAATAAGTTTGCCTCGGCTCTTATTAAACTTTTTCATTTTATTATTATTCTGTCAAATGGTGATAAAAGTTTCTAAATGCTTATTCTCAATTTTTGTACATATCTTGCATGGACCAATAACAGACAGTTCATGGGCCACACAACATTAAGTAGCACTGTTCTAGAACAGTGTTCTTCTTTTGTTATGCCAAGAATAAGATACTAGTGAACCACGATATTGATTGATTTTCCTCGGCCCATTGGGGGTCCTGGGGCTGGGAGATATCTCTACGTTGATTATCATTGACTGCAGCCTTGTGTATTTACCCCATTTTGTTATACAGATATTATAATTTTCTGTGTGTGCCATAGCAGTTGCTAGAGATTCATAAGGACGTTAGAACCACTATTCTGGTTTGTATACTAAATGAGCATGGAGGGATAGTGTTTGGGCAGTTAGAATAAGGAAGGAAATGAAGAATTTCATGTCATGTATCAGTACATATGCTTTTCTTTCTCTCCAGGCTGAACTGGAAGCCAAGAAAGCAAAAATGAAGGGGACTTTGATTGACAACCAGTTCAAATGATCAGGACCTTTCTCTGAACCCAGACTAGAAACAAGCATTTAGACCAGAAGGCAAAAAAATTTTTTTCCTTTCATTTAATTTATTGGGGTGATTCTGGTTTACAAAATTATATAGGTTTCAGGTGTCCAATTCTATAACACATCATCTGTATATTGTATTGTATGGTCACCAACTGAAGTCAAGTCTCTGTCCATCACCATTGATCTCCCCTTTACCCTCCTCCACTTCCCCCCGCCCTCCTTCCCCTGGCAGTCACCACACTGTTGTCCATGTCCACGTGTAAAAGAACTTTTTATTGACTGCATGGACTGGCTCCTACCTTTATGCGCCAGCAAAAGGCTTTATGTTGCTTTCTACATTCAGTGAAGTCTTTGAGTCCATCTGACCTGCTTTCTAGAGGTGAATTTTAAAAATCTTTCTATACTATTACATGTGTCTTCTGTACTATATTTGTCCATTTGATGTAACTTATTTACCTTGACAGAAAAAGTGGCATGGATGAGATTTTAAAGTTACAGTAAGTCAGATCCTTGTAGGTTACTCTGTTTCTCTTCCTAGACTGGCAGGTGTCACCATGGCTTGAATCTCTCCTACTGGGAGAGAAAATCCATAAAACGCCAGAATCTGCATAAAACTTCCTTTACTACATATAAAAACAATCCCATTTACCATCGCACCAAAAAAATTAAGCTACCTAGGAATGAACTTAACTAAAGAGGTAAAAGACCTCTACTCAGAAAGCTACAGGACGTTGAAAAAAGATATAGAGGAAGACATAAACAGATGGAAGAACATACCATGTTCATGGATTGGTAGAATCAACATTATTAAAATGTCCATACTACCCAAAGCAATCTATAAATTCAACGCACTTCCCATTAAAATATCAACGGCATACTTCACAGATCTAGAACGAACTCTCCAAAAATTCATCTGGAATAAAAAAAGACCCCGAATAGCTGCAGCGATCCTGAAAAAGAACAAAGTAGGTGGGATCTCAATACCAGATATCAAGATGTATTACAAAGCCACTGTGCTCAAAACTGCCTGGTACTGGCACAAGAACAGGCATATAGATCAATGGAATAGAACAGAGAGCCCAGAAATTGGCCCGAACCAATATGCTCAATTAATATTTGACAAAGGAGGCAAGAACATACAATGGAGCCAAGATAGTCTCTTCAATAAATGGTGTTGGGAAAATTGGACAGATATATGCAAGAAAATGAAACTAGACCACCAACTTACACCATACACAAAAATAAACTCAAAATGGATAAAGGACTTAAATGTACGACAGGAAACCATAAAAATTCTAGAAGAATCCAAAGGCAACAAAATCTCAGACATATGCCGAAGCAATTTCTTCACTGATACAGCTCCTAGGGCACTTGAAACTAAAGAGAAAATGAACAAATGGGACTACATCAAAATAAAAAGCTTCTGCACAGCAAAAGAAACCATCAACAAAACAACAAGAAAACCCACTGTGTGGGAAAATATTTGCCAATGTCATATCTGATAAGGGCCTAATCTCCAAAATTTATAGGGAACTCATACAACTTAACAAAAGGAAGATAAACAATCCAATCAAAAAATGGGCAAAGGACCTAGATAGACACCTTTCAAAAGAGGACATTCAGAAAGCCAAGAGACATATGAAAACATGCTCAAAGGCACTAATCATCTGAGAGATGCAAATCAAAACAACAATGAGGTACCATCTCACACCTGTCAGACTGGCTACCATCAACAAATCAACAAACGACAAGTGCTGGAGAGGATGTGGAGAAAAAGGAACACTTGTGCACTGCTGGTGGGAATGCAGACTGGTGCAGCCACTATGGAAGACAGTATGGAGTTTCCTCAAAAAACTGAAAATGGAACTCCCATTTGACCCTGTGATCCCACTTCTAGGAATATATCCCAAGAAACCAGAAACACCAATCAGAAAGGATATATGCACCCCTATGTTCATAGCAGCACAATTCACCATAGCTAAGATCTGGAAACAGCCTAAGTGCCCATCAGTAGATGAATGGATTAGAAAACTGTGGTACATCTACACGATGGAATACTATACTGCTGTAAAAAAAGAAGGAACTCTTACCATTTGCAACAGCATGGATGGAACTGGAGAGCATTATGCTAAGTGAAATAAGCCAGTCAATGAAGGAAAAATACCACATGATCTCACTCATTCATGGATAATAGAGACCATTATAAACTTTTGAACAATAATAGATACAGAGGCAGAGCTGCCTCAAACAGATTGTCAAACTGCAGCGGGAAGGCCGGGGAGGGTTGGGGGGCAGGAGGGAGGGGGGTAAGAGATCAACCTAAGGACTTGTATGCATGCATATAAGCATAACCAATGGACATAAGACACTGGGGGATAGGGGAGGCTAGGGGACTGTCAAGGGCGGGGGGGCGGGGAAAGGGACACATATGTAATACCCTTTGTAATACTTTAAGCAATAAAAAAATAAAACAAAAAATAAAACTGAAACTTAACATCCATAAACCAAAAAAAAACAAAAACAAAACTTCCTTTACTTCAAATATGAAAGCTAAAGTGAGCCGCTCCTTATCAGACTTTGTACTTAAAGAAGCAAAAGCCAGATTGGAGTGAGGGGGTAGGATAGGTGAGATCTGAATGAAAATGGAATCTCAGTAACCAGCTCAGGGGAGCTACCATCCTGTCAAATAACTAAGAGCACCGCTTCTGTTTGTGGGTACGTGGGAGGGAGATATTATAGAGTAAGAAAGGATGCTGGCTATTTTATTTCACATTTGCTATTTGTGGAGGAGTCTTATAAATATTTAATGTTACATTGCTTCAGTGATATCAATATGTAGTGCTTGTATCCATATTTTCATCTGTTCATCTGTATTAAAAAGTATCGCCTGCATCTAGTGACTCTTTACAACTGACTTGTCCTCTCCGCCTCATTTCCTGTCTTCATTTGGAGACATAATTAGGCATCATGTGGATAACCAACCATAACCTCCACACAATTCCTTGACCTCAACTCCAAACAATAACCTTTACCTTCACACTACTTGAGCCACAGACTACCATGATCACAGTCTGGATGTCATCTATTCTGAAATCCGGTATTCTGTTCTCTGCCAACAACCTCCTATCATTGCTACTCTCATACTCTCACTTTCACTAAACGTGTTTTGTTTTGTTTTTAGATTTGTAGGGTAATTTTGGTGATTGTTTTATTCATAATAATAAAAAATAGTACTAATGATTATAATAATACTAACTACATTTTATTGACTACTTACTATGCATCAGGTACCATGGAAAGCACTTTATAAGTATTACCTAAATTTATTTATTTGTTTGTTTATGAATATATTTTTATTTCAGAGAGCGAGGGAGAGGGAGAGATAGAAACATCAGTGATGAGAGATAATTATTGATCGGCTGCCTCCTGCATGCCCCCCCACCAGGAATCGAGCCAGCAACCCGAGGATGTGCCCTGACTGGTAATTGAACCATGACCTCAACCATAGGTCAACGCTCAACCACTGAGCCATACTGGCGGGCAATATTTGGTCTCAGGGACTGGCTTCACTTACTTACCATAATGTTTGCAGCGTTCATTCATATTGAAGAATATTTCAACACTCCAATCCTTTTTATGTTAAATAATATTCCACTATATGAGCAAACCAGGTATAACCTTAAATTGAAGATAATCTCATGAGAGAGGTTTAACTACAGTAGCCTTCCGCCTTATCCAGGGGTATATATCCCAAGACCCCCAGTGGATGTGTGAACCTTATATATACTATGTTTTTTTTCCTATGCATAGATACACTTTATAGCTTCTCTTTGACATATGTGAGTTGCCAGCATTATTACTCTTGTGCTTTGAGGCCATTAAGTTACTTTTACATGAGCACTGTGATACCTTGACAGTCGATGTGATAACTGAGACGGCTACTAAGAGACTGATGGGTGGGGAGTATATTCAGTATAGATGTACAAAGGGATGGCTCACGTCCCAGGTATGAAATTTTAGCACCACATACAATTTAAAACTTATTTTCCATTTAATATTTTCCGACCATGGTTGACTATGGATAACTGAAACCATGGAAAGCAAAACCACAGATAAGGGTGTGTGTGTGGGGGGGGGGGCTACTGTGCTATCTATCATTATAATGATACAAATATATACTTTGAGGCTCTGCAAGTTTCAGTTTTCCAAGTTCTCATAACCAGTGAATGATAAAGCCAGAAATCTGACTATGCAACTACATTGAATCTCATGTGGGATTAAAAAAATTTATATATACATATTTTTTTAAAAAAATTTTTTTTTACATATTACTGCCCGACTGCCATGGCTCAGTGGTAGGGCATCAACCTATGAACCAGAAGGTCACAGTTTGATTCTCAATCAGGGCACATGCCAGGTTGTGGGCTCGATCCCTATTGGGGGGCATGCAGGAGGCAGCCAATCAATGATTCTCTCTCTTCATTGATGTTTTTCTCTCTCTCTTCCTTCCTCTCTGAAATGTTGCTTCAGAAAATACTAACACACACACACACACACACACACACACACATTACTGAGAACAGATCACAATTTCATTTTGAGAAACCAAGTAAAATGCAATGTAAAGACAATTGCCTAGAGGATTTCCTGTAGTAAATGTGTGGTTACCTCTCTAATCTTAAACCATTTCAACATCTGGTTCAAATTATGCGTTTTGCTTCATCTTTAAGACTGCAAATTGTTCCATCATTAGCACCAAACAAGAATGTGCTCCTCATTATCTTTTATTCCTTCACATTGAAATAGTTATTAAAATAACATGACATTTCTCTGTTGTCTTTATTTGTATTTTAGCAGCGATTACAGTGCTTTAATGTTAGTATAAAGAGGCATATTTAAATTTCAGAGTCTTATTCTCTTTTTTGTTTTTAAATTATCAACTGTGTTAAAATAGTAAAATGTTATAAAATGTTAATCCTGACATTTGGAAGTATAATTTTATTGTTTAAGAAAAATTGAGAAGCTTTTTTAAAAAAAACATATTTTATTGATTTTTTACAGAGAGGAAGGAAGAGGGATAGAGAGTTAGAAATATCGATGAGAGAGAAACATCGATCAGCTGCCTTCTACACACTCCCTACTGGGTATGTGCCCACAACCAAGGTACATGCCCTTGTCTGGAATTGAACCTGGTACCCTTGAGTCTGCAGGCCGACGCTCTATCCCACTGAGCCAAACCAGTCAGGGTGAGAAGCTTTTAATAAATTAGCTTATGTTGACCACTAGCTATGGACCCACCTCCCTTTCTCAAGAAAAAATTTTCGTTTTTTTTATTTCTCTGATCTTTCATTCTGCTTCTTCACCTGACTACTCTTCATTTTCATTTCATTATAATGAAGCACACTCCACTGCACGTGAGCTTTTAATATTCTATATTCCTCAAGGAAAATAAAAGACATCACTTATGGTGAACTAAACCTGTTTTCAACTTCATAGAACCCTGATCCTCCTGTTTTTCCCAATGTTTCCATTCCATCACCATCTCTTTATTTTAACTCAGCCTGATCCTGTGATTAAAGATCTGAATTTTCCTCACCAGCACCTTTAACTCCTCTTTTAAAAAAACATTTTTATTGATTTTAAAGAGGAAGGGATAGGGAGAGAGAGATAGAAACATCAATGATGAGAGAGAATCATTGATTGCCTGCCTCCTGCATGCCCCACACTGGGGATTGAGCCCACAACCGGGGCATATGCCCTGATCAGGAATTGAACCATGACTTCCTGGTTCATAGGTCAATGCTCAACCACTGAGCTACACTGACCAGGCACCTTAAACCCTTCTTGATTTTTTTTTCACTTTTTAAGGTCTCTGAATAATTTTAGATTTACATAAAAGTTCCAAAGATAGTACAAGGAGTTCCTGTATACTCTTCACTGTAGTTATCCTAATATTAACATCTTATATAATGCTATGGGCTGAATTGTGCCCTCCTTCAAAATTCATACATTGAAGCCTTAACCCCTGCTGTAATAGTATTTGGAGATGGGTCTTTGGGAGTTAATTAGGTTTAGATGTGGTCTTGAGAGAGGGATCCTTATAATGGGTTTAGAGTAGTGGTTCCCAACCTTTTTTTGGCCCTGCCCTACCTAAGCATCTCTCAAATACTGATGCCATCCCTGTGACATCTAAATTTTTTTTAAAATATATTTTATTGATTTTTTACAGAGAGGAAGGGAGAGGGATAGAGAGTTAGAAACATCGATGAGAGAGAAAGATCGATCAGCTGCCCTCTGCACACCCCCTACTGGGGATGTGCCCACAACCAAAGTACATGCCCTTGACCGGAATCGAACCTGGGACCCTTCAGTCCGCAGGCTGATGCTCTATCCACTGAGCCAAACTGGTCAGGGCCTAATTTTTATTATTCAAAAAGGGAACTCCTATTCACGTGGAGGAAGCCTAAAAGGCCATTAACTTGGTCTAAACAAGCTGTCAAAAAACATGGCATCCATGAAAGAGAAAAATAAAAGAATGAAAGGACAGCTGAAGTACTGAGGAAGAAATCACTAAGAAGTTGTTAAAAAATAATAATATGAAGTGATATGAAAAAATAGCAAATAAAATTTCAAAATATGTAATAGAGAACTGTAATGCATAAATATGTCACAATATCTTCTCTCTCTCTATATATATATAAAGCTAATGTGCAAAGTTCTATCGGGAAAATGGGAGTTTGATAGCTCGCTATGACGTGTGCTGATCACCAGTGGGTGGCACGGAACATGGCGGGTGACCAGTGGTGGTGGGGCGCTGAGGGAACAAGGGAAGGAGGAGGCAGGGAGGCGGGGAACCTGATCGGCCCTGATTGCTGGGCAGGCCTAGGGACTCTACCGGTGCATGAATTTGGTGCACTGGCCCTCTAGTATATTAATATACTGTCTATGAGGCTCCTAGAACCATAAGAAATGCAAAAAATTCACTATTAATAACTCATTCTTGAATGCCCCCCTTAAAAATCAAATTGCCCCCCTGTGGGGCGTGTACCCCATGTTGGGAACCACTGGTTTAGGGCCTTCATAAGAGGGCACTGCCTCTGCATCTCACTGTCTCTTTGTCTCTGTCTATCTCTGTGTATATCAGTCTCTGTTTCTGTCTCTGTCTCTCTCTCTCAGAAGAGAGCTCTCACTGAATCAGCAAGCACCTTAATCTTGGACTTCCCAGTATCCAGGACTGTTAGAAATAAATATCTATTGATTAAGCCACCCAGTCTTTGGTATTTTGATATAGGAACCCTAGCAGACTAATATGTACAGGGTGGGGCAAAAGTAGGTTTACAGTTGTTCATATGGAAAATAATACATTTAATAAATAATACAAGAATAAACTTTGTTTTGCATACTCACAACTGTAAACCTACTTTTGCCACACCTGTATAAAACCATGTCACAACTAAGAAATTAACATTGGTCTAATAACATTAAACTACAGACTTCATTTGGATTTCATCAGTTTTTCTGCTATGTCCTCTTTGTTCTAGGATCCCACGTTGTATTTAGCTGCCATGTCTCTTAAAAATTTTTTTTTAAAAGTTGATTTCAGAGAGGAAGGACATGGTAGAGGGGGATAGAAATGTCGATGAGAGAGAACCACCGATCAGCAGCCTCCTGCATGCCCCACACTGGGGACCGAGCCCTCAACCTAGGCATGGAAATTGAACCATGACCTCCTGGTTCATAGGTCGACACAACCACTGAGCCACGCGGCCAGGCAACTATCATGTCTCTTTAGTATCCTCTAATCTATGACAGTGTGAAATGATATTTTATTATTTTGATTTGCATTTCTCTAACAATTACTGACAATGAGCAACTTTTTATACTTGTTGGCCATTTGTATCTTTGGAGAAATGGCTATTCCAATTATTTGCCTATTTTTAATTGGGTGATTTGATTTTTTATTGTGAACATATTTTTATTTGCTAATTTTTCTCTGTATAACTTCTTTGTGAAGAGTTTGTTCAGATCTTTTGCCCATTTTTAAACTTTTTTTTTATTTATTGTTGAGTTTTAAGAACTTTTTATCTGGGCATATCTTTTATCAGATACATGATTTTGCAACATCTCCCAGTCTTCATTCTCTTAATAGTATAGTATCTTATATGACTCAGGATCATGCAGATTTTCTTCTCTATTTTCTTCTAGAAGTTGTATATTTTATATTTAGGTCTATGATTTATTTTGAATTAAT